TTTCAGGTGCACACACATACACACACCTGCAGTCAGCAATGCAACACAGCTTTAGCAGAAAATGAGCTAATCAGGGGCCAGCCAGCTTTTATTGATGCTCTGACTTTTAAAGAGCTCTCACGTCAAACAGCTTGTGGTAAGTATTAAAAATTAAGAACTTGCAAAGCCTTCTAGACAAAAACTATTTAAAACGATATCAGAAATAATATTTCAGCAAAATTGAAGGAATTATAATCCATTTTTTCAAAAAAAAAATAATAATCCAAATCTTCCATTACATCAATTAAAATGCATTTATGAACTTGGCTTGCGGCAAAATGGAGAGCAATAAACAGTGGCTGCTATGGAGAATGGCTCTCTGGAAACAATTTTCCTGATGTATAACACAGGCCTAAGAGGTTCAATAATGTCTTGGGTCAGAATTTGCTGATGAACATTGTTTTAGCTTCTTGGCTGGAATCCCCTTTAGCTTCAAAAGATCTTATTTCATTTCAGGGTGAATTTTGTCAGAGGAAACTCGTACAGTAAATTTGGATTCACAAACAACTTGAGAAGTGCTGAGGTTGGGGTCTAGGACAACGTTTACATTGATCCTTGTATTTGGGACTTTTCCTTCAGAACCACATGAATGAGTGGGTATAAAGCACCTCTCTTGAGAACTGGGAGGGCTTTTTTCTCCCCAGTCATACAATCATAGAATCATCTAGTTTGGAAAATACCTTCAAGATCATCCAAACATCAACCTGACCTACTGAGTCCCAGCACTAAACCATGTCCCTTAGTGCTATGTCCATGCATCTCGGGCTGGCCCACCATTGCTTCTCCTAGGCTTGTTTTTCTTCTGTGTGGGGGTCCTTTGCACTCAGAGGTGGCAGTGTGGCGGAGAGGCCTCTCATCCCTCTCAGGAAGTTCCTCCTCACTGCTGGTCTGCCACACTTCACACATAAGACTTTCCAAAAGAAATTGCGAAGTTGCACCTTGTATACAGAAGTCCATGGCTCCAGGAAGGTTCAGGATCAGCCCCACGGATTCAGGCATAAGAATAAGAACCTGAGGCCTAAATATAACCTTTTCATTTATGTTTTGTCCTTTAATTTTTCTATTTAAAACCGTTAGTTGGAATGATATCAATTTTCATGGATCATCTATATGGTTTTACTTCAGGTAGATATTTTTTCTTGTAAAAACACTGGTTTAAGGAAATATGAACACAAGCTATTTGGCCAAGTTACAAAAATCAAATTCCAGCTGCTAGCTATCAAAGATAAATGAAGTGATATGTGCTTGTGAAACTGAACACCATGCAGCTAGACGGTAGCAGGGGACGACTCGATATTCCCCAGAGTGGGGAAAAAACAAACTGCTTTCAGGGCGGTAGGAGCAAAAATATCATGCCATATAGCAGGCTTGGGGATGGGTTGATTTTTTACATGAAGAAATGGGAAAGAAGTACTTTTTTTTTTTTTTTTTTTTTTTTTTTTTACTGTTTTGTACTGTTTTGTTGCTCTCCCAGTCAGAGGGCTTTGTATGCTTGGTCCACTGCACTCCTGCAGAGGTTCAGTTTCCAAGCCCTAGCTTTTGGCACTGCACAAGCAGATCAGATTGAGCTCTGTAAAGCTCAAAGCTCAGTTCATGGGGAGATCACACTTTCTTCTTTCAAGAAAAATAAAATAAAGCTGTATTAGAGAAGAATCAAAGAATAAACAACATGTGCCTAAGATTTTTTTTTTTTTTTTTTTTTTTTTTTTTTTTTTTTTTTCTAGGAAGGGAGGAATGGTTATTGCAAAGCTTACTGGATAGGTTAGAGAAGACTGCTTAACTGCCATTGCCTTTCATTGCAGGAAAGAGAAGAGACAAACGTTCCGGTAATCAATAGTAAGGCAAGAGGACATCCATGACATAGATGTATATATGCTAGTCCCTATTGCAGTCCCATCAATTTGCTAACAAAGGGAGAAATGCTAATCCAGTACAAATTTCCAAACTGTTTGAGGAACAAGAATATACCCTTTGTCTTCAGGAGGAACCTGGATGGGAGGCTACAAGGATGGCCCATGCTTTGCCTGCCAGGAGCAGAAGCTGTCTGGCACCAGCATTTGTGATCATTTCTATCTGTCAGATGTTTCTCCCGTTTGCAGATCTGCAGTTAAACAAATAAAGTTAGCCAAGATATATGCAGTTCTTCAGGGCTCTGCCAGTGTCAACCCATTAGAGTTTCCTCCTGTTTTCTGTTTGCATGAACCCACTGGAAACCCGGCCCTGGCATCCTGCCTCGCTGACCCCTGTATTCATTAAGAATAATTGTTGGTGCTGTGTAATGGAACAGCAGCAGCACAATTAAAACAGATCCTTCTTGTGGCAGCGCATTTATGGGATTGGCAATGAGTCCTGATGAGTTCCCTGACCCCATCTGTCTTTTTCCACCACCCCTACCGCAGGTTTCATCTCCCGGCAGCCGTGTGCTGGTCTGACCCTGTGTGGAACGTACAAGTAATACATGAAGCAAGAGCACGCTTCCCTCCACTTCCTTGCCACCTCCTAAGACTTGGCATATATTGTTTTTTCTTCTTCCTCCCAGTTTTCTGTTCTTTTGTTCTTCTTCCTCCTACCCCAGACTCCCTCAGAGGAATGGTTTTCATTTAATCCAAGCGTGTTTGGCACTAGATTTCTTTTGTCCCGCCCGCGAGTCAAGGGCATTTTGAGGTCTCGTTGAGCAATACATAAGGACTTGGGTCATATTTCTATTGCTCACATCGTGGTGGCCTGGATGCCCATCTTGAGCTTTCTACCTTTGAATTTCACAGTAAGAATGGGGAGAAAGACACCCTTCTGTCAAACCCACTCTTCATATCAGCTTTTCACTGCGTTGAGTGAAAATGGGTAATGATGCTTTATCTTGGCAAACTATAAGCACTGGTTCCTGGCAACTGAATAAAAATATAAATACTGACGACGTTCAACAAAAACTGGCCTCATTTGAGCATAGAGGGGGAAGAAAAAAAAAAAGGAGAAAAATAATATATTAAAATTAATCTTGACTTTTTGAGCATCCACCGGAGTTGCCATTTCAATGCCCACCATACAGGCAGAGGCAGCATTTAGCAAGGGATCCCAAGGAAATCCCTAAAACCCATGCTGGCATGAAAGCAAGGCTGCCAGGGAGCTGGTGCAGCAGCACCGAGGGCCTGGGCAAAACCACCTAATGGTAGCCGCCTGGGCAGCCCAGATTTTCTTCTGTTCATTCAGCAGCTGCAAATCCCACCATCTGCTCGTGGCATGGAAGAACCATAGAATGACTCAGGTTGGAAGGGACCTCAAAGATCACCTATTTCCAACCCCCCTGCCATGGGCAGGGACACCGCCACTAGGCCAGGTGGGCCAAGAAGCAGAGGGAAGGATCACTGTGTCCATGCTTGCAGCTATCAGTCGCACAGGAGAAGGCAGTTGTGTAGGCTGTGGGCCTCTGGAGGTATGCAGCATCTTCGTACCAGGGCAACAGAGCATGATGATGAGTGTCCTAGGCTGGCGATGACCTGAGGGAGCACAGTCAGACACAGAAAGGCACTTGAGCCTCTAGTCATGGCGTGGTAGGATGGGACGGCTGGCTCCTGCCACATCCTGAAGGCCACAGGGTCACAGCTCAAGCATAGGAGCCCCTGCAAGAGGGACAAGGGGTAACTGCTCTCCTGAGAGACCTAGAAGAGGTTTACTTAGCGAGTGTGCTGTACCAAGAGGGGAGGTATGCCCACAGGTGTTAAGCTTGCACTTCTCCAAAGGAAGAGGGCCACATTTTCAGGTCGCTCCCCAGCCTACTATCCCAACTGGTATTTACAGGTAGACACAGTGATGAGAGGCAGACGGGAAATTGGCGTCAGGGCTGATGACAGCCATAACACACGTACACAGAAAATGCCTCCCTCCGAACAGCACTTTCCTGACAGGGAGACGGCCACATCATGCAGTGGGTAGAGCATTTCCACTTCACACACCGAACACTTTCCATCAGACCCTTTCACACAAGCCTGGAGCAAACTGGTGGCAGCATTAAAAAAGCTAAATATTTTTCTTCCCTTTCTTCAGAGATGTGTCCTAGACAGCTTTGCTCTTGGTGAGCAAAGAGGTTTTAGTTGACTTCCGAAAGCAGTTCTGCCTCCCGCCCCTGCACTACGCGCATCCTGCCTCCACACATGCTGCTCGCCTGTCCCAGATGTGAAGGTTGGAGGCAAGCAGACCCCATCTGCCTCAAATCTGAGGGCAACCACCGTGGCAGATCCTGCCCTGCTTTATTTCTCATAAACATATATTAACGGGTCCCACCACAAAACCCTCCACAACTACCGCTGTGCTGGAGAAAACTTTTCTTTTGGCCTAGCATCAGTGAGCTTTGTGCCGAAGGGGAATTTGGCACAACAAGCAGCTTATCCGCACGACACATGGATGGCTGTGGAATTGACATTTTCCCCTGTTGCTGATATTGGAGGAAACATAAACAGGCAACCTAGAGGAGAACATTGCTTTTTCTCTAATTCTCTCCCCAGCCAATACATGATTTAGAGACCATGCAAATCAGAAATACTTGTACATGGTCTCGTGCTTAAAAGCATATCCAAACCACAAATGAATACATTTTCTAAAATATAGATAATAGACCTAGGGCTCAGGAAAATACTGTTTTAGGTGAGTGTCTGCTGGAAACAGGAAAACTGTGTGGCAACAAATCCTTCAGGGAATGCACAGCTCTTTTTGATGCACAGGGGATCAAGCGAAATTACAAGACAGGGAAAACCAGCCATGTGTCTTGAGAGGTTAAATGCAGAAGCCTGATTGCACTTCTCTGTTGCCCCCATCCTACTTTGTGAACTCAGTGTTTGAGAAGCGGTTATTTCTGACTTACATTGAGGTGAGCAGGAGGATAAGCCAGTGAAATTACTGAAGGAAAAACCACCATTTTAAGTAGCATGTGCAACCCAAATGATATAGTATAACAAACTCAGTACACGTTTAAAGTATCATGAAAATAGTGTCTTTAATATACAGTTTATATACTTACAATACACGGTTTAAATTTGTTCATATACATTACAGGGATATTTATTTGCACCTGGTTTAAATAATAATCTGCCTTCAGCCTTACACAAAAGCCCAAAACAGCACAGAATTCCACAAAAACCATGCTTTGTTTTATAACGGAAATGTACTAAGCTGAAGTTTTGGGGCTTTCTCTTTTCTTTTTGTTCTTTTTTTTTTTTTTTTTTTTTCCCAAATGTTACTTTTTTGACCTACCCAAAGTGAATCTAAAGAACTAAGAACTAACAGATAATTTTAATATAATTCAGAAGATTGTCCAAGTCAAGAGAATCACTCTGCAGATTTTTGCTCTGAGAATTTGGTTATTATGCACAGAAACGGTGAAGTCTGAGCAACTTCCAGATTATCAGAAGCTTAAGACATAACAAACAAAGAGTCACTTATTGCTAGGTCTCGACAAGGGGCCTGAATTTCCTTACTGCCCTGACATCCCTAACACCGCAAATAAAATGGACAACCCCTTGCTTCGATTAAGATTTCATTCGTACCTTCCAGTTCGCACACGGAAATGCTGCAGCTTGCAGAGCATCAAAGAAACAAGACAGGAGAGCGGGGCTAAAGCCCTTGTCCTTCCCCAGATGGCTGGTGCTTGGATTTTAGGCAGCCTGGCCCATGGGCACCCCACTGGGAACTTACAGCCTCCACTCTCCCCCTGCACACAAGAAACTGGTGCCAGCAGGCTTTATGTAGCAGGGAGGCAGTCAAGGAGTTGATTCAAGAAGAAGACAGAGGAGAAAACACTTCAAGTATTTACAGACAGAATGAAAATATGCTGTTTTTGAAACAGTATTGCTATTTACACTGTTTTTCTTGAAGCTGTTGTGGAATAAAGTCAATTAAAATGGCAAATAAAACTGTTGTTTTGAAAAAAAAAAAAAAGTGCGATACACATTTATTTCAAACCCTTGCTTCTAGCTGCAAGAACACCTCAAAACACATTTTCCTTCTAATTTTGATGGACCAAATGTTTTCTGTCTCTAAATTTCTAGCCGTAGGCAATTTGCACAACACAGCAAGAATGCAAATAGGCATTTTGAGTTGATGTCAATACAACTTTGGTTAGCCAGGCAGGCAGCAATACAAAGAATCTTAATCCTAGGCACGAGTGTTTAAAGGAAACAAGCATTTCCCCTCAAATTTTCTCCCCATTCCTTCCCTTGCCCATTCTGTTTCCAATCCAGAAAAAACCCTTTGCTAGAATCTAGCTTTTGCAGCTGAGGGCGACATCAGTACTTGTGCCACAAGAATGTTGCATAGAAAGGATGTGTTTCCTGGTGTGGGATAATGAGACAACTCCTTACATAACGACAGGCCAGAATTTTTGCTACCAAGCCCCCCAGACAAGCAAGAACCCTGATGATAATACACAACTTCGGACACCACTAACGAAATAAGCACCAGAGGCCTTGTGTTTATTTAAAAGGAGGAAAGAAATCCAAAGTTAGGACCGGCAGGATGTCTCTAAAACATGAGGGATTTTCAGCCCACTGCGGCATGATAGGCATTCTCTGAACACAATGGCTACACCTCTACTAGCAGACAAAACAGGCCGGAGCCCACTTTTGGACCCTGAGGACACCCAACACAGCTCCCCCACCGACCTGGTTGAACTCCACTCTCTCCAAAGCAAGACATACCCAGGGACCAGTGATTGCCAGCCCCGGGGCTGTGCTGCCAGGGATCACCCCGTGCATGGGCTGGTTGGTTTGCACCAAAGCCATGCAAGAGCCCACATCAGCACCTCAACAGCAAGCGGCTGCCATGAGGGTACCGCTCGGTTTACTGGCACAGATGTAAGCTGGAAGTGCTGCTGGTCTTTGAGGTGAGTTACAGACCACTGGATGGCTAGGAACAGAACTAGTACCACTTGCCAATGACAAACTGGAGTCATTAATACCATTATGAACTTGTGTTCAAAGCACAGACCTGGCTGAGTGCGCTATTCAGGTTAAACACCAACAGGGCCACAACCTGCATCTTGTTTAGACTCAAAACACGTCAGCAACTTGCACGAGTGCACAAATCATTAAATGCCTCTAAAATCACAACGAGCGCCCTTAAAGGCACTTGTGGAACTAGGAAACGGATCGGCTACAAGCAGCACAAGGCGACCAACACTACAATCACCGAAGGTGAGTCTGATCAAATGAGGAGTGCTGTCTCCTCTACTCGCATCAGCTGGCAGAAAGTCTGTACCACAGGGATATTCCTCAGAGCCTGCAGATCTTTCCAATCACAGTGGGAACACTGAAGTGACTTTCCATCTTGAAGTACCGTAAGTAGTGCAGCATTTTGTACCTTTTATAGATTGAAGTCTCCAGGTTTTACACCCCACCTTTATGAAGAGACTGCGTGCTCCTCTGCTGCGGCCTGAAGGACTCCTCTGCTCCTCCCCCATCTCCAAAGTGCCACCTTCTCCTTAATGCTAGGGACTTGCTGTGGGACTGATGTAGTTAAGTTGGGCTCCTGTATTCAGGCTACCTTTTACAGTGCCAAAGGCACCAGAACAGAAGCTTCAGTCCTGCCTGGGCATTTGTGCAGGTGGCACGATGCTGCAGTCCCATCATTCACACAACACATTGAGGTTGGGAACACCTAAATCGCTTTAAGAGGTTTGGAAAGTTAAGCTAATGGGCTGCTCAGGGCTACAGTAAAGGTCAAATGCTAACACACTATGCATAAAAGTAAGTATGCAGCGCCAAGCCAGAACAAGACTACTGGGAGGACATCGATAGCAAGTGTGCAATTAGAGGTTTCAGCTGTAGTTGTGTACCTAGGATCTGCTTCGGAAATCGTGGTACACTTCTGTGCCTTTCTACAGGTCAGCTTTATTTTGGTCTGTGGATACAGGATGTCAGTGCAGCAAACTCATGAATGCAGATTCCACCAAGGCTCTTTTTTTTTGCATGTGGAATGTTCATTAGACATACTGAGGGTTAAAAAACAAATTGACTTTAACTTGCATGTGCCTACCAACAAGCACACACATCAGAACAGTACTTGAATTTGACTTAGTCTTAATTGAAGTTAAAATATTTTAGGACAGTAATTAAAAAGCATCCAGAAAAAGCTATCGATCTGTTGCTAAAAGTCAATACATTAACAAAAAGATTAAGATTATGAACTCTTGGGGTTTTTCTATTGGGATAGATTTTGGCTCACTGCCTTCTAGTACCCACATCCAGTTGTGCTTTATTCTCTGCTTGGGAACTGGTGGTTTGCATTATTGCAAGACAAATGATGCATCTTGGCTTCGTCATGGAGACATGACATGAAATTTGCCCAGGCAACAGAAAGCTCCACTTGCTCCACATTTGTTTTAATGAGTCCATATAATTGAGAAAACAGGGAAAATTAGACTGTCTTTTTTGTCCCTGAACTCTATTTTCTCTTGATGCTCCCACTGTGTGCCCTGGAGGAAGAGAGACTCTTTGTCCTTTCAAACAAGAAAAGCAGGTGATGGTGTCACCCCAGGCAGGGCTCTGATCTGCAGCAGGTGAAGGAGCCAGAGCAAGGTGAAGCTGCTCCGGCTTCCCTGCCTTTGACCCCTGAGGACCTGGGATATGCAGCTGCAGAAGATGGACTCTGCAGACTTTCCTGAGGGCCTCCACAAATCCTTGCCTTCAGCACTACAAAGGCAGGGGATCCTGGGGTTCTGAGGTTATTTAGACATGTTTCTGAGAGCTCTGCCAACCAACAGCAACAGACTATCAAAAGTCAATCCTATTTCTAGCCCTCTGCGTGTAAATTCAGAAAGTCTCCTGGGGCAGCCTCATACCCCCTTCCCATACCTGCCCTAACTTCTGACTGCTACTTCTGTTTGGTGTCTATTGCAGTGAGTTTTTGCAACTGGGCAATTGAGTTGACACGTCTTAGTGATGCTGCAGTCCTTCCACTTTGACACCCATGTTCTCCTAGCCCACTGCAAGTAAGACAGGTGAACATCACAAGCATTTCCCGAGGCATGGCCCAAGCTCTCACTTGGCCCCTTCTTATCGGCGTGGCATGTACTGCTTCTGTTCCTTCCCACCTCTCCAACGTTTTATTTCAAAGGCATCCTACAGGAGTACTATCACCTTCCCACACAGATCCGACTCCAAGAATAGCACAGCACATGGAGCACATTTTCAGATGATTGTAACAGCAGCAGAGGAAACGTAACAGGTTTCCTTCGGCCAGTGTGGAAGGGCTGCACTAACAGGCTCCTCTGATGGATGTGCTGGCAGCTGCGAGGGGCAGGATCTGCTGGGAAGGGTCTGTGCAGGGAACTGCCTTTCCCATGAGAAAGCTGCACGACCCGAAGTCGTGCTGCTGACTGCAGCCATCTGACTACAAAAGCAACTTTTGAAATCCACAGGTCATAAACTTTTAATTGGCCAGGGCAGAGTGGCTCAGTAGGAAAATCCCCCTTCTCCCTCCCCTTTGGGCACTGAGCTAAGCAAGACTTTTTTTTTTTTTTTAACAATTAACTCTTTTTGTTCAAAGTAACATGGAAAACGTCCACATTACAGGTAGTCAGGAAGATACTGTTAATAAAAATATGCTGCAAGAGTAATGTATTAGTGGCACTTCACAGCAATTCTTAACATTTTCAGATGTAGTGTCAAAACCATGTTTTTGTATATCTGAACATGCTTTTTGTTAACAGAAAAGGAAAAAAGTCACAGCATGTTGCCAAATATTATTTGAACAGAAACAATCCTGTAAGAAATACATTTTTTTTGCAGTTAACACAAAACTGTAAACTGGATTGGTATGTGTCTTTCAGCATCAAATTGTTCAGTAATAAATACAAGTAAGTCTTAACAGACTACAGAGTAAGTTCCCTTAGTGTCCAGTTTTTAGCAGCTGTTGAATGTTCAGGGATGCACAAGGCACACCTCTGCAGATTCTCTACCTTTATTATCGACATACCAAAAAAAAAAAAAATCCGTTCACCACTCAAAAACTTTTATCTGCATAGTAAGAATTTTTCTACTACTATTTACAGGAGGGGCTTTTAGTGCAAAAAACAGGAAGTGATGCATGAGCTGAAGTGCATCTAGCACATCTTGTACAGTTCCACTAAAAACTAGTCAGCATCACATCTTGGGCCGCCAGCCATTAATGAACTGCAGTATTTTCTTCACCTGCAATTTGCTTAGTTTAAAGTCTTCTGACAGGATTTCTTCTGTAAGCTGAACCAGTAAATTGCCATCAATCTTCTCTGTAACAAAAAATGATATGACATCTTCTGACAGCCCAATGAACCTCAGCGATTTAGACACTTCCTCTATTGAGAGTCCAGAAAGGTCTGTGGGTGGCTGCCAGGGAGAACCATCCCCGCAAGACCTTGGTGCTAACTGGAGGTGGAGGGGAGACGAGAAGGGATAGGACACAGAGAATGTGTCCTGCATGCCCTTTTTAACAAGATACTGATCTTCCAACAGGTCCGGAGAACCAGTTTTCGATTCCTCCTCGGCACCATCTATTTTTAGTGGCAAAGGACCCATGTCTGTAACTGGTTTCTCTTCGCTCGGCTTCGGTGCCCGAGGAGGTAAGGCAGGACATGAATGACTCTGCTTTGTGTCGCTGACTCCCAGAGTTTTCTCATCAGTGCAGTCTAGAGAGTAACTTGCTGACTTTGGGCAGCTGGAGATGGTGTTAGTGAGCTCTGCGGGGGTCAGCTGGGAGTACCCCACAGGGAGCTCACACCCATCGAAGTCAAAAGTCAAAGGTGCTGGACAGTTTCTCTTTGGCGTGCCTGGAGTCTTCTGTCTGGGGTAACTGTAGCTCCTGCTTGGATCGAGCAGGAAATCGCTCCTATTCAGGCCTTCCGCAGTTCCCGAAAAATGGTTTGGCCAAGATAACCTAGAAGGCAGAGCTTCAGTTGAAGGGCTTCCAAAAGGCATCGTGTTCTCAGGCTCTTTGGATTCGGTTTTCATCATGGTACAAGGGTAGCAGGAAACAGGTGTGCTGCTCTCGGCTGGGTTCGCGTTGTCATTCTCTGTGACATTGCTTAAGGAACAAAGCAGAAAGGATGTAGTTAGTACAAAAAAAATAATAAAATGTTGCATTTGAATAAATTCATAAATCATCTGACAAAATCAGAGGGTGGCTGTCACAAGGAAAGAATCTTTTTTCCTCCGGCAAAATGTTCCAGATTTGAATTAACAATACGTTTGAATTCCACGCTGACAGTTCTTTTACTCTTCCTACAAGCCTGACAAGATGCTGATGTACCCAAAAGCCTCATGAGGAAGACTCATGTCTTGCTTCTTCAAGCTCAGAAAAAAAAAGAAAAAAAAAAGATGTCTCAATTCAGTTTTGTGTCATCTCCCAAATATTTTTTCCGCTGCTGAACTCCTGAGGGACATCACCACGGTAAAGGAACAGCCTCGTGTATACTCAAGATTTTTTAATCCTGCATTCTATATTTATACACTGCAGATGTGTCACAGTAGGCAAAAGTTCGCCATAGGGGAAGGTTACCATTGTGCTAGACACAAGCTTGATTAACCTAAGAAATGACCAGCATTTTGGGACCAGCATTTTCATTTGTAATTGCACCAGTGTACAGTAGAGTAACACAGAGTACATCGTTGTTTATTGCCAGAGGAAGAGTTTTACCCAGAAGGGCAAGAAGACCTAGCTGCATTTGCTGAAATACCAGTCTTTAAGCTTAACCCACAGTAAGTTGTTTGTCCTCATCTTGAAAAAGTCATGACAAAGAAACACTTGCTTTTCAAAGGCACCTAAAGAAAGTTCGCCTGACCTACTTCCAGGCAGTAAATTAAGCTCAGCCTGTCCAAGGAAATTGATGGTTTATATCCAGGTTTTCCCAAAAGACTTAGATGCTAACAGAAGCATGCAATCTGTCTCCAAAAGCGAATGTTTGCTGCCTTTATGCCACTTTCTAAAAGAGAGTCTGAAGGATTTGGTTGGTCTTTGGAATTCTGGCCAATTAAGCCAGAACACCACAAAACCAATTAACAGACTTATAAAATCCTTACCTAACACAACAGAGGGAAAACAACAGTTGAAATAATTGTTTTAATTACTCACCTCTCTCTCCTGGAAACTAATTACTCAAGGAATAAACTAGGCAGCCATTCAGTGACAGCTCAATGAAAGCTGCTTGAAGAGGGCAGCAGCTTTCAAAAAAGAGCATGGTTTTGAATAGATTGCCACAGCTTTCAGAGAGTGAAAGAGGAAGCCAACCTGGACTTGCCCAGCTCAAATGCAAAGGACAGACACATAAAAGCAGATCTAATCTTCATCACTGGAAAATTAGTCATTAAACTCAGCTCCATCATAGGCAGTTTCCCTCTCTAACCACTCACTCTCCACTCCACGCTCTCCAAACTTTTCTCTTTTTCTTGCATAAAGCTGCCAGCTAAAAACAGTTGAACATTAAGAATAGACCTTTTTTAAAACTCTTACGAAGGATACGCCATCCACTGGTCATCTCTGGCATTTAAAGGCCAGTTGGTGTAACATGCACATTCAAAAGCATTTTTTCACAGATCTGGGTATTGGGCTGTTCAATTCAGAGTAGATAGTCAATGAGGTGTTATAAACAACTACACATTCAGAGGAATTAAAATGATTGATCCTGCTTCTGTTCTCTAATCCGATACTAGAATTGGGAATATTTAATGATTTAAAAGATTAATGGAATCACCAAAAACTGATGAAGTAACATAAATAACATTTTCAAAGTGCTTCCTTACTCATCCTCCACCAGAATTAACCCACTGGGACTCAGTGCCAAAGGACACGAGAAACCTTAAATTTACAGGCATTTTGGTTGCAACCCTTCATGATCTAGAGGATAAGATCACTAATCAAAATGGCAAGACTTAAAAAGCAACTTTCTAGCAGCTTCCTCTGCAGCACTAGGTCAGTGCAACCAAAATGGAGGTATCTGGACTGGACTGGACCCAAGCTGCAGATGAACATAATACAAATTTTGTGAAATCTCAGGCAAATAATATCACCTGCATTCCTGTGAAACCGTACTTCTCATTGTTTTCCTGGTTTCTTGGGAGGCAGATGTATTGTTAGCTATGAGGAGAGAAAACAGCATTTGGTGGGCCCCAAATTCAGGGAGGTCTTGTGCTCAACCTCCTGTGGAGTAGACCTTGACAGAACTACCCAACAGACTTTCATAAAAATAAATGAGTAGCCTTGATCTAGAGTGATCGTTGCCAGATACACAACGCTAAGCTGCAAATATGCGGTATGGCTTAGAAAGGCAATTCCAGTACAAGTTGTTATACCAATTACATCTAGACTGAAACAACTGCAGTGGCACTTTCTGATCAATTCATAATACTTGGACAGGCATTATCCTTCTACTTTCTTAGAGACAAAATTGAAGAGATACCAAAACTAATGGCAGCAAGACATTCAAGTCTAAAAGGAGGTAAGGCTTCAAAGGGCATATACGCTTTCTCAAGGCAAAGGAAGAACACTGCAATGGTAAGGAAAGACATGCAGCCATGTAATTCAAAATCCACCCTCAATTTTCGACTAGCCCGAGTGGATTTTCCAGTCTGTGGTTTAAGTTTGTGCTGAAGTGGGTTTGATCTACAGGCTGCATGGCTGCATTTTGCTTTACCTCGCTTTGCAGTCAGTGGTGTCTGCTGACCTCCCTGTACTCCATCACACCCACCTGTAGGTTCACATATAGCTGGCACTAAACATTTCCTGATTACCATGCCCCTCTGTGCCACCAGTTAGCAAGAGCTGGTTGCACTGGATGCATATAGGACTGAATTTCCTCCTGAAAACTACCTTTGAGCTGATCTGGTTGGAAGATTCATGCCATTCAAAAAATATACATAACTGCAAGGGATTTTCCACTCAAACAGTCTCTGCCATCATATGGTGAGATTAGCTACAGCAGCATGTGCAGGTATTTAATATAAATTGCTATGTCGTATGTAATAAAACATAGTTTTTGCTGGAGCTCTGCTTCCTCTTCAATTTTTAGAAGTAACATGATAGGTTAGCCCATTTCAAGAACAGTCAGCAACTCTGACTCAGTACTGTGCCCTTATAAGCAAGAGCCTTCAGGAAGACTACCCCAGTTTCAATACCTGCTAAATGTAACTTTCTCAAAATGCCAAGTGCTAGCATGAGGCTCACACACATACATGTTGTGCAGTCCTGAAGAATAGTAGGACAGAGTAGGGCTGGGAGAGCGGGTCTGTTGTCGTGCAGGTTTGACTGTGCGAGGAGGGATGGAAGGACTGGTGGAGGATGGCTTTGAACTCCGTGGAGGGACAGGGGGAGCATTCAGGAGCCTGCATTCCTCTTTCACCTGTACAAAAGAAGAACACGTAAGTAAGCAGCTAGAAAATCTGGACAACAGCACTCTCAGCCAGATGAAGCACATCTGGTTCAGGCTTATTCTACAAAAGGAAATAATTAAAAAGGGAGAGGAAAAGAAAAATGATGCTAAGTATATACATTTGCAACAGTATGTGGCTGTCATAAGGAAGACCAAAAGAATGCCTTATTACCAGCAGAGCTACTAACAGTCCTTTTGGGTACTTTGAAGTCGTTTGATATCCACTCATTTAAAAAGCAGCAGCAATGAAACTATATAAAAAAAACCTTCCAGTAACATACAAAACCAGACAGACTGTTCCAGATATTTTACATTCTGTAAGAAGCAATTCATTAAGCTTAAATTCTATTAGTGTTGTTTATTTAGATGTAATAAACCAAGCTTACGTAATGAAAAGATCTCAGCAGACTCTGATGTTTCCTGACTTATTTAACCAGCAATGCCCAGCCATCCAGCTCTAGGATAACTCCCTGCATCCCTCCCCAAGGACTAGCACACGCATCACATATTTACCAGATGCACCCAGGACTTAATCTATCTGCAAGAGAGCACTAAAACAGACTTGATCTTGGTGGTTCCTCTCAATTCTTGCCCTTTGCTCCTCCTGAGAGTGCTGCGGTGGTTGGGCTGCTTCTCCCTTCCCATGCACTGCCCAGCAGAGCAGTGCATGCTCCACCGGCCGTGCTCTCTGTCCCCGTCATACTTCTAATGCCAACCTCATGTAGCAGGTGTGTGGAGCTGCTTTTCACTATGTAAATTATATATTTTAGGTTGGATCTTAGGATGAACTTCTTTACCGAAAGGGTTGTTAGACATTGGAACAGGCTGCCCAGGGAAGTGGTGGAGTCACCATCCCTGGAAGTCTTTAAAAGATGTTTAGATGTAGAGCTTAGGGATATGGTTTAGTGGGGACTGTTAGTGTTAGGTCAGAGGTTGGACTCGATGATCTTGAGGTCTCTTCCAACCTAGAAATTCTGTGATTCTGTGATATAAACACACCACACAACAAAAACAACAAAAATGTCCCTTTTCCTTCGCCTTCCTCTGTGTGTATAAATCATGAGCTCAAAGTGGGAGACAGCAGTTTTCCAGTTATTTGGATGCTGGCATTCAAATCTGGAGCTTCGGTCCTTCTGCCACTGTCAAAGCAGTCCAGGATAAGGTTAACTACAAACTGTACAAGGTAAAAGGTGCGGAGCGGAAAAGGCTGCTCAAATAAGGCACCCGAAAGGATTTCAAGCAGAAGGACCTCTTGTTGCCAGCCACATTTCAGATCACACCAACCTTCCTTCTAGGTTGCAGTGGATAGCTTTGATAAAGCAAACAAAATGGATTGGGGACTACAAGGACTTTTGCTGAAAAGCTGTATAAAGCAAAAACTACTCGTGAGTTGTGTTATGAAAATAGAGCAGGTCTTCAGTCTACATTCCTTCAGAACTGACTTTAACATTAAACACGAGGAACAGAGCCAACAGGTCTACTTACTGTAGCCAGCTAACTTTCCAGCTCATGACCGTAGACTACAGAAAATGTAGTTTGGTCCTGCCTAGGGAGGAACAAAATGCCAGGATCTATCCCCACAATAGAAATGATGAAGACCTTAATCTTGTCAGGACACACCAAGGACAGCAACTTTACTTAGCAGGGCTAGAGGCGCGTGAGGCTACTGAGAATTAGGCAGCAGCAGATCTCCACGGTCTCCTTGGTTGACATCATCTCAGATGCACCAGAACGGGGAAACTCTCTTTGAGTTGGAAAGTTAGAGTTTATTTTTAAATTTAACAACGCTGCAGAACTAAAAGTTATCTTAGCAGTTCTGCAACACATAATTGGCAATTAAAGTGATTTAATTTATTTAAAAACAAAATAAATGCGGAACCTTTTGCAATCCACTTCAGTGCTTCCAGAATGCAACAACCCATTTAGTGCTTAAGTAAAATGGAAAATCGGGGACTGGGACATTGTAGTACATTTTTCCCTAACTCAGAACAAGACAAAATTAGAGGAACTGCCTGACAACAAAAAATACTGACATAAATCTTGCTCTTAGGGTTCTTATTTGCTCTTTCAAGAAAAAAAAAAAAAAGAATCAACTTTATTCATGTTTGTTATTGAATTCAGGCATAAAACTCTTCACCCATTTTAGTGCTGTGCCCCAAGGACTTTTTTTTTTCTCCCCAAGTCAGACTAGGCAAAGTTAATATGGCATGCTATTGAATATATGCCCGTGGGGTTACAGAGACTGTTCAGGGGAGCTCTTGGAGCAGAGCGGACGGTCAAGGGGTTAAAGAAATTCTTTCCTGGGAAGACTACTGGCATTCAGAGGTACTGGCAGAGCGAACTGTGCCAAGCTCCTCCGCTGACCTAGATTGCAGATCAGAACTGGGCCGTAAATAATACCAGTTTGCAGTCCCAGTTGGTCCCTGTCACAAGACTGCAATTACAGCTGCCAGGCACAGCCCTCGGGAAAGGCAGCAGAGGATTGAAAAGGAGATTTTGCAGATTAAACCGACAAGAGCAAGGGGAAACTTCGCAGGAGATCCACGCTTGCAGGGTCCAAACGAGAAGTAAGGACACCGAGGAGGGAGAGGAGGGGAAGAGCGGTGGGGTGACACGACGACTGCCTGGGTGACTGCTGTTGCTACACCAAAACGCTCTTTCACCCAGCAGCACTCGATGCCATGCGGCTGCCAGACACACATAAAGTGCATGTGCAACGAGAGCCCCGGGATTTTCACTCCCAGCCTCCAATGCTCCTTTCGGCGGCGATCCCGGTGATGGTGATCCATCCCGATGGCTCAAGCTGCCGCAAGGATTGTAGGCAGCACTGAAACTTGTCTCATCCTCCGGGGTGCCACAAGCCCCCAGGGAGCAGTCTGGGTGACCCCCCCGCTGCTGACACTCGCCTGTGGGAGCGTGAACCTCCGGCACGGCACGCTCCAGCCCGGACACGCCGTAAATCCATCAGGAAAACAGCCTCTGGTTTTATGCAGATTAGTGCTTTGGGACTGCAGCAATTGCTGATTTACAGGCCTGAATTCAGAGGGCATTTTTGTTCTCTCTCCCCGCTTCATGCCACTTTGATTTTCTGAAAGGTATTTCGGAAATACGCATTGTATCAGGCCGCCTCACCCAGCAGGTGAGGAGAAAGACAGAAGAGCTCCCGAAACACCTGAACCTCCTTTTCTCCTACAAATAGCTCCTGCACGCATATTTTAAATTTAGTGCATTGCAAGAATACAATTGCCTGCCAACCTTTACATAGAAACACTATGGAATATCATTCTGGAGGGAGTGATGACTAAACCTCATGTTCACCAGCAGCTACCGAGATCTACTTATTCTATAAATACCCTGCAAGAAAAGCAGGCAAGCATCTTGTCAGCCCCAGCCCCCTGATGAACTCGGTCTGTCACTGATACTCACTCCAACGCTGTCCCAGGAAGCCACAGAGCTGATTCTGAATTATTATCCCATCTACAGAGGCGCGATTCTTACTTTATTTTATGAGGTTACAGCCCTGCCCACCTCTAAATGCCATTTAATAGCGTTAGCAGAAATCAGTTCTCCTGCATGGCGAGGAAGCTGTGCAGAAACTGCTGACAGCACTCATGGCCATCACCTCATCTTTGGTAAGACAGACACGACAAAAATGCAGGAGACAGGCGTGTACCCCAAATGCCACCCAGAAGAGCTCGCTGTGCTGCAGGCCGCCGGCCTTCCTCCTCGCCCTCCTCTCTGCTCCTTGGCCCCTGGCCGTGTTGCTCCTGTGGTCCCTGCACTGAAGCGGGTCAGCTCGCAGAAATCAGCGGGGAACTAATCGTTTTCCAGATCCAGACCTGGCTCCCTGCCCAGGCGCAGGGGTGCCAGAGCCAGCGCAAAACAGAAGCCAGGACCATGAGGCTGGGAAAGGAGGAGGAGGAGGAGAAGGAGGAGGGTGGGATCAGCCCCGTGGCGGTTCACATCAGCGCAGGCTGCCGGGGAGCCTCGTCTCGACACGGTGCGAGTGGGCGCTGCTCCAAAACCATCTGGACAAAGCTTCGGCTCAGACCTGACCTCGAAGGCAAGGAAGCACTTTTGGGCTCCAGCACTCAGATATAACACGTAAATGCTCTTTGTGCTAAGAAGACATAGTGTCTTGACTTCCCTGTCTTTGCTGAAGCTGCTGCGGATGCTTTTTGGGGGAGCTTTGAAGGGCTGCAGTTGTGCTTTCCCCACCTGTGCTGGCCTTTGTGCCTCCCCTCTCCTCACCGCAGCTCCCCAGCGGCAGCACAGCCTGGTGGTGGGAGCAGCACGTTCGTTCACTGAAAGCAAACCCAGCACAAAGAAATAAAACGGTTTTCAGCCATGTCAGGTTTTCAGCCTGGCTGTGACCTGCCTCACGATGGAAAGGCTGCTGCCAGCACTGCCGAGACTGTGAGATTGCAACAGCAAAGGGATGGGGTCACCACAGTGTGCTGCGGTTTGGTGAGCCCCAGCTTATTGTTCAGCCATGGTTTTGGAAATACTGCGAAATTTGCAAGCGGGATGTTTTTATTTAAACTCCATCAAAAAACTGCAAAATTGATTTACCGATTTGTTAAATAATAACTTCTGTCAAGATTCATTTGATCTGAGTGTGTATCATTTAATCTTGCTAAAGATCCCTAGACGCTCTTTTCTGGAGGAAGTTTTCTTCCTTTTTTTTTTCTTTTTTTTCTTTTAAAATGACTGTGTAGGACAATACCAAGGGACAATGCAATGGGTGGATTTTCCACCAAACCCACACAAGCTCCTATAGGCACAACATTTTTATATTTTTGCCACTGAAGTCTACAAAACATTTCAGGTTTGGAAAAGTGATTTCTCCCAAGTTTTCATTAGAAACCCTTGGGCAGGAAACACATTTTGTTTAAAACTGAGTCTTCTATAAGGCTAATTTCTGAACTCTGCAGAGTTCCTATTTAGACATACTTTCCTTCAATAAACACTACAGAGTGATTATGTTAGCTATGTTTTGGTAAAATGTGGTTGAGGGTAATGACACTTAGTATTTCCTCAAATTTAGCAGGGAAGACAATCTCATTGACAAACATTGCAAGTCTGTAAAAATTCTAGCTGTCATTATTACAGCCTGTTAATCAGAGATGCACACACTAAGGTAACCTGTGGCAGTTCCAAGTGGGTTCGTGTCCCACACACATATTCACGTCCCACACACTTCAGCCGTGGAAAATATGAGAAAACAGAACACATGTAGAGAGATGATGTTGAAAGAAAGGGAAGGCAGTGACCTAAAAATTCTTAGATCTTGTTTGTAGAAGCAAAAAAGCAGTAAATATCACTTGGAAGTATCAGGTTTAAGATACAAGATCACTTATATTAAATATAATCTGATGCTTTATAGGACTTACAGTTGGTAGGAGAGTGCACATCTCTTACCATTTCCTTGCCCTGCATGTGCCCCAACCCCATCGAAGTCTTCTCTAAAGAATTCCCAAGCAAACATCTGCTGAAAAAGAAACAAACCAACATAAACAACCCTGACTTACTGCTTCAGATTTGGGAGGCACTGGAGGTGGAGGTAGGGAAACATCCGAAGACTTTGTTGTTGCTCCGACGGTCCCAGGCACAGGAAGAGATGCAGTACCGCACTTTGATCGGAAAGACCCTCTGTAATTGTCACATTTGCTCTTCTCACTTAGCGAGCGAATGAGAGGCTGCTCTCCAGGCTTTCCAGAGCCTTGGTCCAACCACAGCTCTTCGTAAGGAAGCTCTGGTTTCGTAGGCAGAAACATCGATTCCTCGCTAACCTCAGGAAAAAGGTAGTCGCTGCTACTGTCCCCAGAATCCTGGTACTGAAGAGCATCGTGAGAGAAGAGGGCCCACTCGTTACACAGATCCCTGCAGCCGTGCAGGTTTACCTCGCTATTGCCGTGCAGGTTGTTTCCGTAGACGCACACCGAGAGCCGATGGAAGGACTGCGTGAGCTCGTCCCGTGCGTAGCTGAGCGAGTTGGGCACGTGGGTGTGCCCGCTGCACCGGCTTTTCTTCGGGCTCTTGCAGTCCTCGTTCCAGTCAGCTTTCACATCGCGCACGGCCCGGGAATACTCGTCTATGTCGAACTGCTCCTGGCATATATTAAACCAGTGCTGGATGAGGGACTCGTGCCACAGCTCCCCCTTCACAAGACTGTCAGGTAGAGTGAATTTTGGAAGCGTCAAGTGCAAGGGAAAATGCATGGGAATAATTTTGTTGCCACGAAGCACGCAACAAACCACCACAGTCTTGGTCTGAATGTTGACGAACTTGTACCTGTGCCCTTCACGGATAAAATGCAGGTCGTAAGGGTTTCTCGGGGTAGGACTCGGCACAGTCACGTTAACAGGCAGCCTGGTTTTTTCTACTATATTGCGAATGGTGTGCTCACCTTCTTGCATCTGCACCTCCAGCGGGCTGCGGGTGCTGAACTTGCCCTTACACTGGAACGGGAGACTGATGCTTTCATTGGTCCTGTGGTTCATGCAGATGAGGCAGGGCATTTTGCCTCTGCCGAGCTTGCTAATTGAATTAAGTTTCCCAATTTTTTTGAAGATGGTGTTGAGTCGGGACTTCTCCTTAGAAGATTTTGCATAAAGGATTTCTGCTTGCCCCATTAAAGTCAGCTCATCCCCGGTGCTAAGGGTGATGTTGTAAACTTCCGTGTCTTCATTGCATTCACCTGAAGCCACCTGCAAAATAACAATAAAAAATTGTTTTTCCCTCACTGAAGACAATATTCCAAATCATATCAAACCTACTAAGACTGGACTTAGGAGAAACCAATTTCATTTGAACAGCTGAGTAGTCAAGTGTGAAGTGTTTAACCCAAAGCTTGGCCCAGTAACTTTTTTATTGTTTTACACTTTCTTGCTTTTTAGTTTAGGAGAAGCAGCCACCTGGAACTGTCAAAGAAGGCATGAGAACAAACATAACCAACTTCTAAAGAAAAGACATATCCCAGCAATTCAAATTCATTTGTATCATACAGCTTTGAGAGAGCCTGTCTGGATTCACTTGCATATCTTTTTCCACCCCCCTTGTTTTTGCTGTAACTTATTTGCCAGGCTCTTGAGGGAAGCAAACATTTTTCTTCCACCATCTTCAGCTCCCTGAGGAGCAGAGAAGGTGATCTCATCATTACAGATGAAGCATATCCCTTTGATATAATCTCTTCCAGGCTAGGGCGAATGACAGATGACATCTAGTCCCTGAAGGAGAAGTGAAAGATATTGGTTCTGTCCCACATGCCTAACTCCCCCTCTGCCTTGCTCTCCCAGTCATAGACTTCCTTCCTCATTTTTTGATCATAATTACAATTTGAGAGATTAAACAACATATGCACAGCCATGTGTGTGCATTTCTACTATGGAAATTGTACTGGAAAGGAAAAAAAAAAAAAAAGCAAAACAGATGTCCAAGGCTCATTTGCTCCTGAAGTTATTTCCTTAACACTGGAATAACTCTTTATGCACAAGATTGCTCTGCTTCCTATTTGAGTGGCTTAATGTGAAAGGCCTTTTCCAGGGACCTAACAGAACTCGCCCAGCTCTTCCTCAGCAGCTGCAGCTGCTTAATCATAAAGGAAGGTGCGTCAGATAAGTACTTCTGGCCTGTTACAGACTGTTTTATTCAGGAATACTGACCATATTAAAAAAAATGCAAATGCAAAAATAAGGTAGAATAACATATTCCTTCCTCATCTACACCACCACTAGAGACTTCATGTAGCTGCGTGAAGTCCAAATTCCAGCCTTCAGAATTGGATGTCATCACAGGCCAGCCACTGCATGAAATCGGGGCTGTAATTCCAATTAGTTAATAATTGAGAAGTGCTGTAAATAATCTTCCCCTTGTAAGGACATGATCTGCATATTTGTAAAGTCATGGTTATCTTCCGGAGCCCTCGCCGAGCAAACGGCCAGAAGAGGTGTGCCTCCCGAGCCGTTCAGCTTCAGCGCTTCCTGACAGGAAGCCATTCAAGCCCTGAATTATCTAAACAAACACTGGTTGGTCTAATCCAGGAAACCACTAGGATTTTATCGTACATAATACCCATTCACAGCGTACACCACCGGCCAGACAATATATTGAAATGCGGAGACATGAAAGGAAGGGGCTTGGATGTCTTTGCTGATAACAGCGGGATGACGCTTATTGCTGTTTTCTCCTCAAAACCACGACCGAGCGCTGCTGCTGGTGAGGTGGCCCTGACCTCGGGGGGCTGAGGACACACAGGGCTCTGTGCACGTCCCATTCAGTCCCCCCTTCTCCTCTTGCAAGAGCACGTTCTGTAAGAATAGTGTTTTTTAATAACTACAAATCCCCACAGGTGGCTTCTCCGGGCAGCGCCGTCTGCAATTTTCACACGAGCCAGCAATGTCCCGGCTTCTTCTCACCCCCTGCATGGAGCGAGGGAGGTGTCACCACCTACAGCTTTGCTGCTCTGCTGCTCTGCCGACCGGGTTCCCTAGCAAGCCCCAAACAAACAGCCCCTGAACAAGGACGCTGCCGCGCAGGCAGTGAGCAGATTGACCAGCAGAGCTTCACCTCGAAGGGCTCCTCAAGCGTGGGCTTTATTAGAGGCATCCGTTTCTACCAGCTGGGAGCATGGGGATTTTTACATCGGACATGTTTAAAGACAAAATTACTCTACATCCCCAAATCTGGAAAATATTATTGCCTTTTTTGCAATGCAAAAAAGGGTAATAAGCAAAATGTGGTTGAATGTTACCGTGCTGGAGCAAAAGAAGAATCGTGCCACTATTGTAGAAAAATACTGTTGCACTATGAGAAAAATACTGTCGTGCACTCTTCTTAATGAACAAAAATCTGTTAGGCGCCAGCTGCTGTCCAAATCTGTAACAAAGAACTGAAAAAGTGAAACCAAAAGTCTACGAGTGCACAACTCTGATTTCACTTTGATTCCCAAAGCCTTGCTCTGCTGAAATTAAGGCTGCAGGTACACCTCAGCAGGCCAAGGATATTTTAAAATGTAAGTCCTGAAAGTCCAGCAAGCTAACTCCTCTCTTCTTGTCCGAGGTTGTTTAATTTTTCATTTTTATATTTACCACATGCTAGTTAACATCTACAAACCATACACGGTAGGTAAATATTTGTTGCAGAACATTAGCAACAAACACATCCCTCGTTCATACCATACATAGCAAACCCTCGAAAATCATCTAAAGACATATGAAAATCAAACTTGATCTGTCTTGCTCACTCAAACGTTTTAATTTACTGGTGGCCACAAAATTTTCAAAACTATTAAAAATAGGGCCATGGACTTCAGTACAGGTTATTGGGTAAGACTTGCAGAATCCTCTAGGTCAGACAGGACCTCCAGAGATCATCTAGTCCAACCTGCTCTTCAAAGCAGGTGTAGTTACAGCAGGCTGGTCAGGGCCACATCCAGTTAAATGTTCAGTTTCTCCAAAGATGGAGAATCCACATCTTCTCTGGGCAACCTCTTCCTGTGTTCGACCACCCTGATGTTAATAATTTAGCCTTGGGAGCATCCTGGAATAAACCCTTCCCCAAACATACTTCTCTTCCCAGTTGTTCTCTCTACAAGTGCTGCTTTACACATCAAACCAGTGAGTCTTTTAGTTTCACTCCTCCCTTACCTCTCTTTTGCCCTTCCCATCCAATCTTCACTTTCTGGTAATAGGTGAGAGCAATCAGTGCTCCTAGCTCTGAGGCAGTGTCTGCCACATTACCCTGCAAAGCCATTTAGAAATCACTAGACACTCTGATCGAACAATCCCTAACAGAAGAGGGGACCCACACAACCAGAAGCAGCCTACTCCATACCACGTTTACCCTCCGCCTTCCAGATGCTGATCCATACTAATGGTCCTGTACCGATGCCAGGATGCTGACCAGAAAGGTTGCTGGCTTACAGACATCTTGTCAAACATGTTCCAAAGCAGCGTCGGGTTCAGTCACTACGATGCTCTAAACTTGCAATTCAATAACCATTCAGAAGCCAATTTTATATCTACTGCAGAAGACAGGCATCAGCAAAATGATGAATGATTATTTAGGCAACATGTTCTTTTGGGAAAGCTCAAGCATATTGTTTCTTTTGCTTAAGGAAAGGTTAACTCAGAAATAGATTTTGATAACACCTGAGTCAATATCCTGTCTCGAGCTCCAATTGTTCTAATTTGTTATAGTTTGAAGCAGAAGTCTTTAATCACTTGGGCATGTAAGAACTCCTTATAAAAATGATTTGTAGTTTTATACAGCTTGTTATACCTGCTAGATCTTATTAGAGCAACACAAGCATCACATTGCCAGTAAAAATCCACAGTTAGGACTTTTTCTTAGAGCTCTTTCTTTTTTAACTATGAAGCCTCTGATGCACAGTTACTGCATGCAGTTTTTACTATTAAAGCCAAGGGATCAATTAGAGCATTTTTTTTTTTACAGGGCGTAAGAAGTGGATAAAGATTTTAGTTTAATATAAAATAGACAGTGTTCAGAAGACCTATAAGCAGCAAAAAGAAGCAAACTTTTTCAAGGAAGATGATTAAACTCACTGAGACAGCATTTTCTTTTCTTTTGTAAATGTTTGCCTCACAAGACAGAAGTAGCAAGCACAACTAACTCTCTGTGGTAGTGTATGTGTGCTTCCCTCTCAGCTGGCCAGGACTTTGCCCTGATTACTATGTTAAAAGCTGGCTTTGGTGTTGTTTTAAGGGTGTCTCAAATAAATCAATGTTCCAAAATAATGACCTGAAATGTGACAGGTAATACTGCAGAGCTCTGACATGACACACCTCTCCACGTGGGATGTCAGGAAGGCCAGCACAAGGCACCAAAAGGCAATGGAGGCAGCAGCTCTGCTTCTCTCTCAACTCAAACTATACACCAGACCCTGGAGGAAAGAGGTTGGTAGGCTCGTGACACTGGCATGAAGCCATATGGTGGTGAGGGGACCAAAGCACTCATTCCCAAGATGCAGTACTACTAAATGCCTGCAAACCTGCACACAGGCTGATTTCATCAAGCCACTGTTGCAGCATTTCAAAACGCCAGTGTAGGTATCTACACGCCTTCTGAGTACGTGCTCTTTGGAAGCTCAGGGCAAGTTTATTAGGGCCAGCAGGACTGCAACCAAATCAGGAGATCACCTATACACTGTACGGACCAGCACAGTTAGACCAGTGTGAAAAGAGGATCACATCAAACAAATCAGCTATCAAAGTTTACACTAGCCAAACAACATCTTTGATAGGAAAGAAAAGAATCATGATAGCGCTAGTTAACTCAAACTCGTGTATCTTTTCCATCCTGGAAATGCTCTGCAAACAGTTTCACAGCCTGTCTAAGGAGATGGAGTGGTATCTTCAGGACAAAAATGATATCCCAAAATATTTAAAGGATCCTGGAACACTGAGTGGGATGTTTAGAGAGCATCTTTCATGGCTTGTCCGATGTTCTGTCAGACATACAGTTCCTTTTTAGGATAACTTTTTGTGAATTACCTCAGTATGATTTGCAGTTTTTGTTCTGCCCCCGTCTTAATATGAATAGTTTCCTGGATATCTGCATAGACTGCTGCCTATATGGGACCCCAGCATCCAACCACAGAAACCTACTGTTGTTGGTTCAGCAAAAGCAAGGGCCCTGGGGTAGCTCAACTTCCTTATTTCACTATTTTTTTTCCAAGCATAATGAATTAGAAAAACTTCATCTTTGTAGCGTAATGCTGTTATTTAAACAAAATTCCCTGCAGTTATGCATTGACTATTAACACAAAAAAAAGCCATCAGCTATCTGTTCAGTGAAGAATTGACAGAATGCCTCTAATTTTCAATCAGTAATAGATCAAATACCTATGGACCGAGTGCCATTAGCTTATCCCCAGATCACTCTGAATTACTGTGCCTGTAGATGCCGCTGGCTAACAAGTACTTGAGGCAACTATTTGGGTACACAAGCACAGTACCGATATATATGCACATCCAAAGGAACTAACAGAAGTAGCTCTGGCTGTTACAAAAACATTGGTTTAATTTAAAATTCTTGTTTGCTTTTTTGTGAAAAGTACTTGGGGCTCTACCTTCTACTCCCAGCTCTGCTTGAGCATCCATTACAACACTCCTTCAAAAATACCACAGGTCCTAAACGTCCTGCCCCAGCACACTTTCCAGAAAGCCTGCCCAGCTGGGAAACAAGGAGGGAAAGGAGATTCATCTCCTCTGCCTCCCCCAGGGTAAGGTGGCTCGTTCTTCCCTTTAACAATGAATATACAAATTAAAATAAAACCACCCCCATAGAGAAGATGCCACAGCACATCATAATGAGAAGGTAGGTCTCTAAACTACAGAGCTTGCTGCAAAATCCTGCCTAAGCAGCAAAGGATTTACAAGGAAGAGCAAGGTTCACACAGAGTCAACCACAGCAGTGGCACATTGCCATGTTCAGGCAGACCTCAACAAGCACAGACAAAATCATACAGTGACTGTCCAGTGGCATCCTGCAACTCTACAGGCTCTTTCTTCAAAAACTATCTGTGGAATTTTTGAGTGTTTCAGAACAAGAAAGAATTCCCAGACTTCAGGGTTCCTCCTCACCTTAAGTGCTTCATTAGACGCCTTAGACATTTTTTGTTTTTGCATCAGATTAGCTACCTTCTGACATGCTTCTCTGAATTTAAACCAGCACACTGCATTGGACAGAAATCAACTGCACTCCGTATTCTTCCCTTGGCTCAAATCACTTTGACACCATCTCCCTTATACTAAAATTTTAGTGTATGTCATTCTGTTGCATATAAGGAGTTATTAAACACTTAACAAGTCTGGTTACGTTCATTCATTTTTTGGAAGATGACAACCTTGGAATAGACTTTTATGAAACTGGAAAAACTGCCAGGAGAAATACTGCCAAGATAACTGTTTAACTAGGTTAAACCTGGATTATTATTGCTGTTATTTACATGAAAGAGTATGACTATAATATCTTTTAAAATGGATTTGATATCTAACAGTAGGCTATGCTTAATCCTGAGCTTGCTAAATGAGAGAGATTTAAGGACACTTGTGCTAAACTCAAGACACAATGTTTTAAACTTTAAAACAGCCTTATAAAATCATAGCTGTGTATTTTATTGTGCCACACTCTTGATTTGGTCATAGATCAACTGAGAAGTATTGGCACAGCACTGGATAGAGCTAGCAGCTCCAAGATAATACTGTTTTCCTGGGTAGAAATGAAATTTTCTTGTTGCCTTGATTTGGCTAATTATATCCTAAAATACAAAATAATTTTAACTTTCTCCTGGAGTCTTCATTTGTGAAAGGCTCCGTTACATGGCTCCAGGTTAATTGACAGCATAAATGAAAACAACCTACTGTCATGAAAGGCACGAGTCTGTGTCACTAAATGAATTAACTAATGAGCTTTTACAGTTACGGCAGTCTTCAGCAATCTTGTTTCACACCTATAAAAATTGCAGACTAGCTGATGTCCCCCAGCTCTAGCAATGCAAGAAAGAGAAAAAGACATTAAAAGATTGTTATAAAACCCCACACCACTACACAGGAACGAGGAACTCTGTACTGGTTATGCACCAGCAGCATCAGCCATTTTCCCTCGTGGAGTACGCAATGCGGATATGCACCAGTGCATCCTGGCTCTAAGATGCTGTTCAACCAGCCTCAGGTGGTGTAACAACAGAAGCAAAACAGGTGAATTTGAAGGCCACTCTGGTCTGTTCCCAGAGCTGACCTACCTTATGTGGTGTCTTACTGGAAATATAGGGAGAGGAGCATGTTCTGTCATTGTCTTGTGCCACCTCACAACAATGTTTGGGGACGGGAAGCCCTCTCGTGGTCTTGCTGACCCTATGACAAGCCCAAGAGGTGTGTGTGCACAAACACACACACAGAATAAGCCTGTCTTTTTTGGAGTTGTTGTTTTTATTCACAATGTCACTTAGCTGCAGTGATTTTGAGAGAAGCAACCCCATCATTTCACTCTGCAGGCTATCTGAGAATAAGGCTTTCTGGATAGGGATTTGAGCAGCTGCTGCTAGCAGAGAATAAAATTCAGACTGCTGGAGGGGGGAGGAGAAAAGGGGCAACAAGCAACATTTGTTTAAAATCTGGCAGCAGCATCCCAATTAGATGAATTATTGGATAGATCATCAGGACTGCTCCCCGAAGTGCCATAGGATAGGAGAGCCCTTAGAGGACGTGTTGATTTAGCACTGCAAAAATGATCCTGAAGAGCACCACTGCAGAAGGCAGAACTAAAGACTCGTTTGTCTTAAAAATCACACTTCCCACACAGTGCCGTTGCTCACTTGCCATGTATATAAAGGTTGTAACAGTTAATCATTTAGACAGAGATAAATATTTATTCAGGGACTACCTTAACGTTGAATGTTATTTCCTCCATGACGTAAACTCGTTCAGGAAATGCTTTAGCCACCTCCTCCACACTGTTAAAATACTGCACTGGCTCCTTAATATCTCGGTCTTGTTCCAGCAGCTTAAACTGCCCTGAAAACAGATGATAAACAGAAGAGTTGTAAGATATTTACATTGGACAACTGTCACTGTGGCAACTGCTGGCTCAACTTCTTCACTATTTTGCTCGGTCAATTTTTCCGGTTATTAGCAGCCAAAATACGAAATGAAAGATTGCAAAGAGCCTTCTGAACCTGCCATGAAAGGCACCCAGTTCCACCAGGGCAGGCTGAGAAGAGCGTGTGGGAGTTGAACTCAAATTTAAAAAGGCCCTTCTATCACATGCTGTCTAGAAATAGTAAATAACTATTGAGGCGTCTGTGTTTGTGTACTTAATTCCCTCTCACAGTATCTATACAGATAGCATTTTTGGCCCCAAACATTAGAAGCTTTACAGAAAGAAAACACACCCATTACAATAAAACCTCAAAACAGTAAACATATTCCTTTTTTTTTTTTTTTTAATATATATTTTAGCATCATCAAACTGCTATGAAAAAATGTGGGGCTACAGCCCTTTTCCCTAACGCTGGAACAGCACTGAGCTTTCCTTGGTCATGAGCTAAGGCCTTTGAGGACTTTTAACACAGCAAGAAATGAAACCTTACACGCTTAAAACTCTTTTGCAGGTGGTCACCTTTGGAAAAACGTTAGGAAAAGTGTTCCTCACTGCCTTCCCCCCCCCAGCAAGGCCATATTCTCAGTGTTGGGAACCAGCAGGGAGGGAAGCACCATGGGCTTGGGACAGCAAGGTACTTCAATCGCTCCTGGCATGTCATGAACATGAAGTTTAAAAACTTTCTTTTATAAATACAGTGTTAATGGAAAGCTCAGGCAGATACATTTGCTGTTTGTATGACACAAATCAGTGGAGGGATCTTCCCAAGCTCAGAGACATTAACTACTACTAGGCTGAAGGATGATCTCAGTGATCAAGCACAGCAGGACTCGTTGTAAGAAACAACTTGAGAAAATGAGTAAAAGTCTGACTGAAATCTATGGTTTGCACACCTTCTGTAAATTGCGTTTTAAAATTAGCAAGGCACCCAGCCACTGGATTATTATTCACAGCGTTCAACTCCATGAAAATCCACCCAGTACGTCAGGATGCCAGCCACCTACAGAAATACCTTCTCGCTCCTTCAGCATTTTTGTGCACCACACTCTGCTGCTCCTACGTATCCCCATCAGACCTGAGGACTCACCCACACCCAAGGATTTCGGGAGCTCAGCAGGTCCCAAAGCCCCATGAGAAAGACTTGTCCCAGCCCTGCCAGGCATGGGCACAGGCACGCACCCAGACAAGCCAGCAGTGCCCTGCTCCTCACCCAGCTCCAGCACCTTGCTGGCCGAGGCACACTTAACTGGTATGCCTGAACGCTGTGGTTGTAGCCTGAATAGCAGCTTTTAAGCCAAAAGACTTCCTTTAATTCCCTTCTCTACATTACTTCTTTCTGAAGTGACCACAGTAACTTTAAGGTATTATTAGCAGGGCTTGGGGTGCTGTATAGAACAGCTGAAGATGCTGACATCTCCCACTTGCTGTTTTGCAAATGTTAATAAGCTTCACCACACTTCAAAAATCAGTTGCCTTGGAGTTTTCCTAACTAACTCTGTGTCTGCTTCAGGACACGCTTTTATTTGAAGTTCAGCCAAGACAACTGAAGTACTTCAAAGACCAACGCTAACGCTTCTGTAGCAGGAACAGGCAGACCTTCGGTCTGACCTGGTGAAGCCATTCCTGTAGTGATCTACATCGCTGTAATAAAGCCAGGAATGGCTTCACCAGGTCAGACCGAAGGTCTGCCTTATGAAAGATCTGTCTTTGACAGACGTCATTAGCAGATGTGCAAGGAGGGCTCTGAGAACAATTAGTCCCTCTTTCATGCCTCTAGGAGGAACCTGTGGCTCAAGGATGCCCAGAACAGGGAATAGTTACCTTTGGGCTTAGTAGCTCCAAATTTCTTCCCTGTAAGCTTAATTGCTTACTGAAGGTGTCTAAAACTTTCACCATACACAGGCCCTCTACCTGAAAATATTATTGCAAACTCTTCTTCCACAGGCTTTACAGTGCCTCTAACATAGAGGGCAGAAACTTCATGAGCGACAAAGCTATTCTGCCCAGCAGACACTCCAGATAGCCCAAGAAAATCTACAGCAGATGGGCACTTGAAAAAAACACCTCACATGCTCAGCAGAAATCTGTCAGCATCCTCCAGCTGAATTCCTCAGCGCACTGCTCTGAGCCTGATCTGGTGCAGAGCAATCAAGGGGCTGTACAGATGCACCCCTGGACAACAAGCAGGGAGGTACTCTGGCAAGAGAAGCTGAACTTGTGGTGTGACTGATGCAGGAGGCATGGAGAGGGAGAGTTGAAGAGAGGAGAGCCACACTGTTTAATCCCCAGGCCACCATACAGACAGGGCAGGCCTGGTTTGGGGATTTCCCTGTCAGCCACATCCTAACTAGGAGGAAGATGCTTTCCCCAGCTCCACAGGTCCTCCTCCCTCCAGGAGGGAGGAGAATTTCCTACAAAGGAAATTCAGGTGTGTGGGGGAACCGAGTGCAGGCACACCTTTACCTACATGGATCCAGGACATCATGCAGCAGAGGGGCTAAGAGTTGCACCAGGGAAAGCCTGATAGCATAGAAAAATAACCACACCAGAGCACAGAGCCCAAGCCCATATTTCATGGATACTCACTAAGGGCAAGACATTCTTAAATGTTACAGAGGTTGTCACATAGCAGTCTCCATGGGTTGACCAGAGGCTGTTGCTCTTTCCTGCTTACTTCTGAATTACTCTTCAGGGAGCACTGTTGTCCTCTTCAGCTAACAACCTGTCTGTGACCCTAACTGACTGCCCAGTTTGGGATCTGGCAGTCTGATTTGCAGGATTCCCAGCTGTAGCCACTATTCAAGGCAAGCTGTGATTACAATTTATAATGGTGTTTTATATTTAAAGTCCCCTGAGGAAAAACACAGACAACACCACTCCAAGTTTTAGTCACCTCAGACAGATCTAAACCCAGTGGGGTACCTCTGATTTAACACCCTTACAGACAGAGCTGAGTTGAATACGAGACTGCATGGAAGCTCCAGAAGTTTTTGAAACTGTGAGATATTGCGGTGATAACATTTTGCTAGTCCAGAAATGAATTAGGAAGTCTCACTTGAAAGTTGGAATTGAGTTGGGTGCAGTAAGAAGGAATTCACATGAATAATGAAGGAAAATATCATCTTGAATAATAGTATTACCCGAGCAATATTCACACAGCACTTTGAATGAGGTCTTTAATCCTAGGTTTCCTAGTTCCTCTGTCTGGAAGCATACTAATATTATTTTACTACAACTGTGATGTACTTAACAATAGATAGTTTGGTGGCAAAAAAAAAAAAAGGCAGTCAGCCATCACAACCCAAACTTCTCTACAGAAAGTCCCAAATTCCTCACCACAGAACAAACTCTTTAGGGCTGTGAGCAACTGGGAGCAGGGCCTGCTAGCTACCGCAGACTTGCACATGTCCTCATAAAAAAAAAATCAGCTGGAGCTTTGCTTCGGTACAAAGAGATGCTCAGAACCATGTATGTAGCTATCTGTGTCATCCTCCCCTTCCTTCAGCTGAGCCGCACAAACACAAAGCTGTCTGTGCCTTCACTGCTAATAAGCAGCAGTTCACGAGGGGGTTGACGACAGAGGAGTACATACAGATCCCAAAGCACATAATAGAAGGGCAGCATTAATCTCCTCCTGTTATGAAATCAAGAAGCATTCTGTGCATGGAAGCTGTCAGGACTGGATGTTAAAATGCTTCACCTTTGGAAAAGATAATTTATAACTCCAGATTTTCTATAGATGCTTTTTTGAAATTTATATCTTCACTGAAAAAGGCAGACTTTTATTGGAAGGAGAGAAAGAAGGGCAGAAGAGGGGCCTGCAACACACATTTAAGCCAGATGTCAAGTAACTAACTAATGGGGAGGAAGGAGACAATTTCTGATTATGTTCCTCCCCAGCCTCTACTCAAAGTGCCATAAAACTGTTTGAAATACAAGTCAAATGGACACAAGTCTCTCTCGACTCCAAGCTGAAGTGAAATTTTATCATCCTTCACCAAAGACAAGGTTTCATCAAGAGACTTTACAAGACCGACAGCAAGCTTAAACAAATCACGGTACAATTTAACTGTGTCAATTTGGAATTTAACAAAAAAAATAAGAAAAATCTAAAGTTAAAGCTATACAATTATAGAAGCACCCCATCCCCCCACTCTCACTGGTAGAAAAAGAGTAATGAAATGTTCCTCTAGTAAATCTGGGCAGGTTCAGAAAGATCAAAGATTTGTTATATCTGCATGGTCCACTGAGCAGGTATGGCTACCCCTTTGCAGCCAAGTGCAAGGGAGTAATGAACTACTACTGCAAGCTTTATATCTCTTTATCTTTCAGTCTGGCCTCTGGCAGACAGGTTATTGGAACAGTTTCATTCTAGTATATATTATCTGCACAGATGATGAAATCTTATTTCCGTGTGAAGGTACTTACAGCAGAGATGGTAAATCCACTACTGATGGAAATGAATATGGAAAGATAAAACTGTGGGTAAAGATCTAAACCGGGGCTTATCCCCTAGTTTATAGAAGTGTTTATTAAAAATGAGTAAGGAGGATCAGTCCATCTCCGTTCTTGCCACAAGTCAGACATTTGTGAGCAGGATCTGCCCTGGGTCATTAACTAGCCTCTTCCAGACTTTCATTTGCATCTGCCACTTCCACTGCTTAGGCTCTTGCAAGTGCAATCCATCTCATTCAGGTATTTCTGTAACATAAAGTCTGCTGGTTTTAGCCCCAATCTACTCTTCACACCCAAACAGTCCAGCTGTTATACATGCTCTCACTCGTATATCCAAAAAGAAAATCTCCCTGTTCTGTAAATAATAAGAAAAAAAAAAGTAGCTGCATGTCATCTGTAGAAAACATGGAAGGTCACCAAAACATCTGCTCAGCTGCGTTCACGGGTAAATGTTTCTCTA